AGAACTGTTAACACTACAATACGTTTAAAATTATCACGAGGATTAAACCTCTGGCCTGGAAGGCAAACAGCAACTGAATAAAACTTCTAAGGCAAGCGGCCTGCTTCGACTAACTCCTTCCTCTCTCTCGCTTGGCAAAAAGCCACAACTTAAGTACTTGGCGTTCGCCAGACAAATTTTGCATAAATAAGTTAACGCTTTTAATTCTGGCCGGAAGTAGAAAATAAGAAGTGATAGTAAAGATTTAAAAATAAAATAAACGTTAGTAAAACTTAAGATCCTTACATGTTAACCAATATTATGAATTTTCAAACGTTCCTTTATAATTCTTCACAATACTTTCTGCAAGTTTTGCTTTATATTTCTCCATTTCTTGGAAGAACTTAGAACCAGTTTCAACCGACAGAGGTTCCGGGTCTCATATTTTTGATCGAATAGTTAAAAATGTTTTATCTCAATGCAAAAAAATAAATAAATAAATAAACTAAAATAAAAAAATAATAATAAAAATTAATTAATTAATTAAATTACAAACTATAGATAACAATTCACTAGTGATTTCACTTTTTTCATGCACTGTTTATAAAGCTTTCATTTATAACTTAATAACTTTCATGCTGTTTTTTCTCATACTAATAATATCCGCGGTGCCGTACCTAAAAACTCTATTTCAGATACGAACTTCCGTTGTGCCTATAATATTCAAGTGCATGGTTCAATATACATTATTCAAATAAGAAAAAACTTTGAAATTTTTCGAAGAGTAACACTTATGATCGAAAAAAGAAACTCGCAAATGCTCCACTGTCCAATAACTAATAAAAAAAATTGCGTTTTCTAGTTCTCTGCAGATAGAATTATTCAAAATATGTCTTCCGTTGGAAAATTGGAATTTCTGAAGACATTTCACATCGTAATAATCTTTCCATTCTGGATAATGATCCCAATTCTAATCTCTCTTTAGCAATCCGAAAATTGACTTTTAGTTATGATGCTTTTAGTTATTTTTTCGATCAACAAATGGTTTCGGTAGCTTTCTTTCTTTATCATTTAGCAAGAAGTTTTATTTATAGAAGACATCTATAAATAAAATAACACGGAGACATTACATCTATAAATAAAATAACGCGGAGACTTTCAAATGTCTCCGTGTTATTTTATTTATAGATGTCGTCATTCTCGAAGTAAATTTAAGGCACTGTGCGTACGAGGTCTTGTACTGCTGGATACCTGGACATGTAGGCATAAGAGGTAATGAGCTAGTAGACACTACAGCAATGTCGGCTATCAATTTGTACAGTTGGGCTACCCCTCCTGACGATATCATCAAAGTTCTCAAAAAGAAAATATTAAATAAATGGCAGAAACACTGGGATGTTCAGGTAGATAATAAGCTTAAGTGTGAAAACTACAATTGAATACTGGATGCTACTAGGAACCGGAAGCAGGAAGTTCTACTTACTCAGAATTGGTCACTCACAAATTACCCACGACTATTTTCTACATAAAAGCAGAGTGTGAACGGATTTTCCCCCATTCTAATGCTGTCATCTCAGTTCATCATTTTTTAATTAAGTGTCCGGATTTTAAAAAGACTTCAATATCCGGGAAAGAGGTGAATACTAATTTGTTTCAATACCTGAAAGAGGCAGGTTTTTATTATTTCATTTGATTTTGTTTTGATGTTGTATCTTGGTATCTTAATAATATAACTTTTAATATATTTCATGTTTTAGGATTTTACACCTGTACAAATCTAATCTCATTATCTGCATTATAAGAAACTTCATCTTAGTATCCATAATCTTTATGCTTCTTTGTATTTTATGCATTTCCATGGTTTTAATCTTCTCTCTTCATCTGTTTTGTCTAAGTCTCATATGTGTGCGAAAGCATCTGACATGTATTCGGCCCAGATGGCCTTTGGGGTATTTGCAACAGTAAACTCACTACTAGCATTACCACTCCGTGTTATTCTAATGTCGGCGCATATCACTTTTTCGTCATTTCCACTCCGTAGTTCAGGAAGGAGATTCGATTTAACTTTCGTAACCATAGCCCTTCAAATTTAATCACATCTATTCTCGTTGTTTTAGTATTAGATGCTATAATGATTAGCTTTTCGGCGATTGGGTTGAGCTGCAGTTTAAAATATTATGATAATTCCATGCAATATTCCTACGTGCAATCTAAGTCACAACTCAAAAGAAATAAAATAAATTCATATTTCCTACTGCTAGACTTTTTAATTTAAAACTATTTCAAGATTACTTAAAACATTCGTAACATTAACAAACTTCACTTTTTTACTAGAAATTGCGTTTTCCATACTATGCTGATGTACTCCAAGAAATTTTTTTGATGTATTTATTAATTTATTTTACTGAGCTTTGGTTCATATTTATTTAACAGGCTCAAAATATTACCTTGAAGCTTAAGTACATGATAAATCGCCCAATACAGTGACCTTGTTAAATTTCGAAATCCGCTATTTGTAGTCAAGGGCCAATTTCTGAATCCATGAATTTCTATTTTCAGTTCATTTCAGAAGCCCTTAAATGCAACTGCAAGCGGCCCTCCAGTTTCGTACATTTTACATACTTCGTACATAATTCTCTATTTTGCAGTTTTAAAAATTCAATTTTTTAAAGATTTTTGTCTATAATTAAAAAATTTCCTCGCGCGTCAACCGTTTTCGCCTCACTCGTTCCAACTGATTTTTTTTTTCCTAAGGCTGAATTCAGACGGTAACGTAAAAGCTGCATTCAGACGACGGTATAAAGGGCATAAGTGGTTAGGACTCTTGGCATAAAGTTCGAAGTTTTCAACTTGATGCCGACTTGGGATAAGCGTCGACCAGTCAGAGCGAACGCGCGAAACCTGAATGGGAAAACAGAGCGGAAAAGCTGTAGACACATCCACGCATGCGCAAAATTAGCTGCTCTGATTGGGTGCGGCTTAGACCTTGTATCACAGGTGTGAACAAAACTCCCGCATTTTATTCCTTGTGATTATGCTTCTATGACATTAACGTTGCCGTCTGAACGCAGATAAAAAATTTTATACTCTCCATTTAATTTCGTTACTTTTAGCGGTTTTATTTTTTTATGGATTGTAATAAGAATGGGTACTTACGTATTATCTCACCGATGGGTTAAGTAGCGCGATTTAGCGCCAATTATGGATGACAGGGTTATCTAGAATTCAAACATTAACCAGTCTCGACCGTTGCCGAAATTTCCGCCGACAGTCGACGGGATAATACGTAAGTACCAAAAATGGAATATATGAAATTAACTGTCATATAAATTAATTGCATTAAATAGTTATTTACTATTATGATTCCTTTCTTGCATTGAGTTTACCATAATTATTTTTGGCATCGTTGGCGTCAACAACAGTGTGGTGATTTTCTACGATTCCGATAATAGAATTGTACCTATATTTTCTTATTTACAAAATATATCTTTTTGAATCTGTAGAGTGTACGATACACTCCTTTTTAATGTAATTTATGCAGTCGAAACTGCACAAAAATTAGCAACTTGTAGCTATTCAATAAATTCAAATTAAATATTAAAAGCTTAAGCAATAAAACTTAAGCAGTAAAATAATTCAGTCAGACGAAATACCATCTTTAAAGTAACAAAGCAATTATTTCAGTCCAAAGATATATCCATTCTATCCTATATTCTAGATTCCAAGATAACATCTGTAGCTTAATATGATGAAAAGAACAAACAAAACAAAACAAAAAAAAAAAAAAAAAAAAAAAAAAAAAAAACTTACTCAATTCTGTCACGGCATCTTTCTGTTTTTGCGTCCCTCCACCAGTAGATAGTCTTTTCTGTGACTGGGTTATTATATGCTTTCTCATATGATGAGAAGTTTCTTTTCTAATTTCGCGAAGATAAGTTGTCGGCGGTTTGTGGTAACCAATGTCTAAACGGTTTCCCATCGCTTCATCAGTAATTATGCTATCAGTTCATTCTTAAAACATATGTGCATAAACAGCTTTCCATTTGATAGTGGAGTAAAATATGTTAATTCATCAGAAATGAAAAGCAAAACAACATTGCCAAAACATTTGTTAAAGAGTTTGTAATTTAATTTCTGCCAATTATTAAAACATAAAAAGATGTTTATATGCGGAAATTGCCATTGATACTTATAGTGGCTATAAAAACCACGAAACATGTGAGTTTTATGAATCTTTGAACTGTTTTCCTGTTTCGAAAGTTTTACAACTGTAGACGTGTTGTCTTAATAGTAGGAGTAAGTTCTTCCAAAGAAATTATGTTCGGTTAATAGAAACTTTCATAATTCAATTTTTTAAGGGAATTAACTTGAAAAGCTTTAAGATTCTTAGGATTCTATCTACTTTTAAGCACTTATTAATGCTTGAAAGTAGTTAGAATCTAATAATGCAAAAGTTTTTTAAAGTATGCCATTTTTTATTGTTTTAGTTAAACTCTTCGAATCATTAAATCTCTGATTAATTTCTGAAGTTAAATATTCGGCTAAATTTTTGCGTTTTAAAAAATAGTTTGGTAAGTCATTTCAACTATTATTGAATTTATTAAGTCTTTTGAATAATGACTTTAATTTAAACCAGGGCATTTCATTTGAGTCAAGAACAGTACCATCGTTTCTTTTATTTGCAGCACAAGTGGATGATTGAACTCATATTAAAATTGAATTATAAAATATTATCAAAATTGAAAATTTTTACAACTAAATGCCTGACCGAAGTAAAAGCTGACAAAGAAAAGAGGTGAAAAACTGAGAAATAGAAATAGAAATGCATCTGATCTTGGTGATTTTTGAATGTAATAAAACATAGTGTTAACTTCCACGAAATTTAAGTGTTTAATTTTCAAATGTAAGGATGTTACAGTCTTAAATTTATAGAAAATTTTAGGTGTTTTAAATTATCATATCACGTGATCATTCAAATTCGGTCTCAAGCAGACAGATGTTACTCAACCTTTTTGTTGCAGGTGACTGGTTGCTGCTCGTATTGAGTTTCTTTCACCTTCCTGCACTGTCAACGGATTTCCGACTCCTTTTACTGTTTAGTCTGTGTAGTAGCTAAACGTCAACTTAAATATGGCTTCATATATGGGATTTCTCGAAAAACTAGATAAGAAACTGCATGAAAAGAATAAAATTACTGAATATTTTGAAAAAGCAGAGCAGGCTACTGGAATCAGACGGTTATACCTTGCCGTAGGTAAGACAGCTTTCCTTTTGTGTATAGGTAAACGGTACGAGGAAATCGTTATTTTCCTCCTTAGCGCTACTTAAAGTTTGAATAACACTTGATGTCAATTAATTTACTTTCATATATATTTAATTTGCTCTCAGTTTGAGAGTGTATACAATATTTATTTGTTTTATAAATTTTGTCGTGGAGTAATTTGAATTTTAAAATAGTGTGTATGATGATCATATTTAATGCATCAACTTGTAAAGTTTATTAAATGATATTTTTATGTAGATTAAGCTTTTTTTTTTTTTTTTTTTTTGTTGTTGTTGTTCAAGATTTTAGAAGTGTTGAAAAATGTGACGAAATTTTAATTAAGAGGGAGGCGTTTTCTTGAAGTTGACTGTTGTAAATAATCAAAGTAACAATTCTGATACCTGCTGTTATTGATTATGTAAGAGATGAAACTAAAGAGCATTTTCAGATGAAAATCAAGCGGAATTCATTACAGCAACGGCAGAGTACAGCTATCTAGGCCCGGGCCAAAAATTAGCCCATGGGCCTGATTGAAAGATCACAATTTAAAATGTCAACTCAAATATATAATTAACATATACCTAATTAGGTACTACTTGGTCGGTTTCGAGGGCCGTAAAAAATCGCCAAACTATTGTTGATGCCAATGCTACCAAAAATAATTGTGGCAACCCTAATAAATGCGGCAAGAAAGGAAGTATAATAGTAAATAACTCTTTTAAGATTGATGTTTTAATTTAGATGAAAGGTTAATTTCATATAATACGTTTTTATTATTATAATTTATATGAAAAAGGCTAAACATGACTGAATGGATGCCTGCATCGCTATTTCGCTACCGACATATTGCTAAAGCATAATTTCATCTCGTTGGTTGTTCAAGCATAATTTTCTATAATGAATGATGCCTTTTCTTTGAAAATATTCTCGGTAAAGTGCAGGATCGCTCACTTATTTGTTTGCCGCTTTATACAAGGGTATAGGATTTTTTTTAAGTGAAAATGGGTCGATGTGCACATGGATACAGAGTATGTGCAATTCTTAAAAACGCGTCAAGCAGTGGATGATTCAGCACTTTACCCAAAATTCTATTGCCGAGTTTTCGTCATGGGCAATTCCCAAGTTGTTAATCCATAGGATATAAAAAAGGATTTAAAATCAAAAATGGATTTAAAAATTAAACTAGTATTTCAATGCCGTCTTAAGAAATATAAAACTATATAAACTTACGCAATCTGAAATCAGCGCGTACGCTAGATTTGGCGCGCTTTTAAATGGGCCCGTTTGCTAGATTTGCCGCTTTTGCGCGTACATTTTCGCTGCAATTTTTTTTACGGCCCTCGAAACCAAATAGTACCTTTAATTAATACTAAATAGTTAAAATTATTTGGGAAAAAAAACTTAATCTATCATATTTTAAAAAGTTTATTAATCTGCCATATTTTATGATTCAAAAAGTTTACAACTTTTATCTCAATAGAAAGGCCTTTTTTTTTTTTAAAGTTTTTGACTCCTGGGAAGCACTTCTGCAGAGAACCCGGTAAATGTAAACATCGCCAACGTTGGCGATAATAGTCAAACCTGGTAACCTATCGGATTCATCCTATTCGCTTGTTTGAAGGTTGCAAGCATTCCCCTTGAGTTCATTTTGTTGAATTATCACTGTAGTTGTTCGCATTTGGAGATTTATATTCTTCTTCTCTTATTTATTATTATTTTTTCTGATTTTCCACGTTATTTTTTCTGAATTTTTAACAACGAATAGATAGAAATACCGTAATTTCTGGAAGAAACGCCGCGGCGTTTACGTGTTTAAAACTTAAATTTTCAGCGGGTGCAGCGTTTAGGTGCACTAAAAATAAAATATTTCCTACGGTGGTCATTGTACATAGTTTGGATGGCCTTGTCATTGTGCATAGACTGGTGCGGTGCTATTCCCACACAAAAGACCAGTCAGTTGCTTTTTGCGAACGTTATTTTGTTTACATTCTTTCCCTTGAATGGACCTACATGCCTTATTCACCCTAAACGAGATCTCAGAACAATAACATTCTTCCCCCTTTCAAATCAACATTCTCATCAGTTTGAATAGTCTCTTCTCTGCTATTCGATGAATCTTCCAAGATCCATCCTCTCCTCACCCATGCCTTTTCTGCAATTTTTTTCAAAGGCGGACACGACTCCACCTGCCTCGCAATAACGAACTCTGACGTATTTCCCCTTCAGCATGAATGGATTTTTCTTGGCATTCTGCCAAATACAGATCCCATCAGTTTAAGTACAAGTACTTGTTGGATAGTTTTTAAGTAAGAAGGGAGCGGAAAATTTTTGAAAATGTCTAAATGGCATAGAAGCTATACATTTCTTACCTTTAATTTATTTTTGAGTTATGGTTTCATTTCATGCATTTTTCTTAACTGGTATGTCATATATCAGGACTTAGGTTGAGTTTTTGCATCTATACGGCCCACGACGATGTCATGCGTAATTTAATCTATTGCGGCGTTTCTGTGTAATTTTAATTTTTTTTCGAGTGCGGCGTTTACGCTGATGCGGCCTTTCTTCCGGAAATTACGGTATTTTCGTATAATTAAAGAAGTTTTCGTCGAAGATGCCGGTTCTCGACTCCAATTTTTATGGCGTAAAATTTTAACAAGATACTATATTGTTAATGCTTTTCTAACAATAACCTTTCCGAGGATGGCAGGTGTGACATAAATAACTGATTAAATTGAAATAAAAAATATAATTGATTAACTAAGAGGACAGAGTAGTTTGATGTGTCCCCATGGTCATCAAAATTAGCAAACCACTGCTGGTGTAAGGAATACACTTCAAATAACTCTTGAAAAATAATAAAATGTATAAAGTTCTAGTTTTATTAACAATGCTACTAAAGAAAATTTGATTACTGTTGAAGGTTATTTGTATTGTGAAATATATTATATAAAAAAGAGAGGTTTATTTTCATATATCACGTTTAACCGGTTAGTTTTACATCTGCATGTTTATTATCTGTGAATTTTTACTACCATATGCTTAATATATTGTTTTGTCTGCTAACTTGAAAAAAGTCACGTTTACGGCTCGGCTCATCATCGATGAACCGTGAGCTTGGCGAGTAAAAATGCAATGGCGCCAACGGGTTCTCTGCGGATGAAAACCTGACTCCTGAAAGCTGTTTTATAATTTCTCCTAAATTAATGTTTTTAGCGACTGCACTTTTCAGTGAAAAGGATTGTCAAGCATTATGTCTTATTTAGCTCATTGCTGACTGAAGATAACTTTTAATCAACTTTGCTTAGAAAAGCTTCTCTCACCAGAAGCAACTAAAACACATATTGTCAAAGAAGTCTTGATTGCCAAGTACAAGTTAGGGACTGATTCTTGGACATCTGTATCTACAATAAGTTTTAACATTTTTAGTGCAGATTGCATATTAGTTTTGTCTTTTTTATATTCCTACATAAAGGTACGTATTTTGGCAGAAAGTTTATCACCAGATATGTTGATCTTGTGAATTTCATGACATTTTTTAAACAAGCAAGCCATCTATCTGGAAATTAGTCTTTCCCAGTGTTTAAGTTTTTTGAAAAATCATTTCCTTTTTGAGTCAGCCCAGAAACAGGAACTCTTTCTCATTTAATATAAACCACACATATGGCACTTAAATTTCCATTTTGAGGTGCTGTAAATTTTTTCTATTATTGGATACTTTGCTAGTCTGCACAGGAGGTAAATTTCATTAATTTTTCTTTTTCATATTTAATATCAGATCTGAAGGAAATTTCTAATCAGTAGTATTTAATCAAAATAGGTTCAAGATTACTATGCTGACATTAAAAGATCTGTAAAACATTTCAAAATTGGGTATTTTCCAGTTTCGCCAGCGCAAATCTCGCCAAGCAGACTTTGTGACAACATGCAGTATACACATAAAATATTAACCAATGTGGCTAATATTTGGAATATGGTAACAGGTAGTTTGGCGACATTTTGGTAAGGCGATAAAGGTTACTAGCTAGGACTTTAGCAGTGTACATGGATAAAGTCAAAAGTGTGCGCAATGCCATTTTTGTGCAATTCTGATATTTTTTTTAAGTGAAAATAGGTTGATGTACATGGATGATACTGTGTATGTGCAATTCTTAAAAACACGGCAAGCGGTGGGTGATTCTGCACTTCGTCCCAATTTCACACCTAATCTTCGTCATGATTAAGCTCTTTTGTTCCATAAAAGTTCTAGTATAAGCGTAATTCAGCTAGCAGATTGTTAGAAAAAAATTTTGAGTGAAAAAAAAGTCTTTATTTCGTGAAAACAAAATGGCGTCCAAACAAAAACTAGCAGGTTGCTTTAGCAGGGTTGGTCGCCAAAAAATCGCCAAGTTACCATAATCTAAAGATTAACCACAAATGTTAGTTCTAAGAGATTTTTTATTTTGAAGCCATAAACATTTTAATATTGTTTAAAATTTTGTAAAAATCTTACAAATAAAGACAATTTAAGAATTTACTATGCTTTCATGGTTCAGCATCCTGTTCACTGGTTCATATCACGTTACCCCAAGTGCTCTCATCTCGCGTAAACTACAAAAATCTAATTTAGTAATTATCTACATTAATTTCGAGTTAAATCTTAATTTGGAATAAAAGTAAATGCAAGAATTATTTCAATTCGTACGAATAGCTTACTCAGAAATTATGTAAAACCACGGTGATTTACTTTGCTAGTGCATTCTGATTAGAATTGATGAATTTAACCCTTGACATCGCCTTTTCTATATTTTCGCTTTCAGATGAGCAGTGTGATTGCATCCTAATAGACTTAACCCGTATCGCGAACGGCCTTAGGGCATACAATTGAACTATCCGGTAAAAATTCTATGTAATTGTATGCCAGTATTGAAAGAAACAATCAATGATAAGAAATGGCTGCGACTTGTTTTGAAAATGAGGCGTAAAAGGCAAAGCTCTTTAATACATTAAAGTAAAGGTTACCAATGAGGAGATTCTAATTGGCATCAGTTGTACCATTATTGCCGATTTTATCTCCTGCACTGGCAAAATGGAAAAGTACCAAAAATTGTTACCAATATGACATTCAACTTATGAACAATTCATTGGAATATGTATTGGAATACTTGTGTCAAGGGCACTCCTTCCAAATTCCACTCTGTGGAATCTTGGCACTATCTGCCTACCTCACAGAGTTTAGAGTCTTGTATATTGCTAACAGTGGAGTGAGTACAATACTGAATCTGACAGTATAAGATATATAGCATTCCAAATCTTTTGCCATGATGATGCTAAAAATCAGTGCTGCTAGCACCGAATTTCAAGATCAATATTCTTTGAGTGCTATATCAAAAATAGATCATAAATTTAGTTTTAAATGTTGTACTTGATTCTAATTCTGAACATAGTATATCTTACTGCTGTTGGTACTTCATGAATATTTTTTGCAGATGAGATATCTGTAGCAATGAATAATGGATTAATGCATATCTCTTTGGATGAAATTTTTAATTTACTCTATATCTGTTTACATTTAAGCATAGAAAATCATATTAATTGGTTTTCATCCGAGATACTTTGATAATATTTTAATAGTTTTGTTACTTATGTCAAAGCAGGTAATGTTTTGAATAGATGCAATTTTAATGATGCCATATTACATAGATAATTTTAAATGCTATTAATAATTTAGAATCATATTATTAAAAATAAAAAAAATCAAAGTTTTAACACAATTTTATGTCTTTAATTCTTATGAATAATATAAAATATGACAGGCGAGTGAAGAGTTACAATATTCTATTTCACAAGACTTGAAATTTGGGAAAAGTGTAAGTTAACTGATTATTTTTTATCCAAACTTACTGCTGTGTTTTTATTTTCAGGACTTCTATCATTATGGGCCTTATATATGGTATTAGGACATGGTGCAGAATTAATTTGCAACAGTATTGGATTTGGTTATCCAGCCTATGCTTCGTAAGTTATTGTAAACAAAATCGAGATTAGAAATTTTTATATGATTAAATCAATTAATATAATATCTGGGAAAAGGTTTGGGGTGTTTTTGGTGTAAAATTCAAATGGTTTTCTTATAGTGCGAAATAGAAATTATTTGAACCAAATATGTTCCATTATTATTGACTATGATTTGCCATCATGCTATCGGTGAAGAACCTCTATGGTTTCTAGTTGGAAAACTGAATGAAGTGCTTTTCACAGGCCTCTTTTGAAACCAGCCTAATTCCATTGAAAGGATTCTGTAAAAATTGGAACAAGTCACAGTCTGATGGTGCTGAGTTTGGACTATACGGTGGGTGCATTACGACTTCCCAACCAAGCTCGCGCAATTTTCAATGAGTCATCAAAGAAGTGTGTGGTCAACATTGTCATGATAGAAGACGACACCTTTCCTGTTATTCAATGCAGACTGTTTTCTGTCAATTGCCTGGCATTATCTCTCTAATTATTTACAGTAGAGTTAATTAATCGTCTGACCAAATGGAAGTAGCTTATGGTGGACAAGTCTCTTCCATTCCCACCACACACACATAGCAGCACCTAGTTTGATATCAATCCTGGCTTCGTGACAGCTCTGCATTCTTTATACATAATCTTTTGCATTTGCGATTGTCTTAGATGATCTATTTTTCATCCTCACTTATCTCACGTTTGAGAAATAGATTGAATTTGTTGCATTGTAGATGTTAATGTGGTCTACATTTTTTTTTTTTTTTTTTTTTCCCGCTCTCAGCTCATGCAGAATCCATACAGCTTTATGTAAAAGTGGTTTGAAACAGTTTTTGCTCAATGGCCAGCTCCATACCAATGTTGACACTGCTGATGTGCTTATCTAGCTGGACTTTTGCAAGAATTTCATCAGCTTTTTTAGTGATTGGTGATTAGAGTATGACTTATCTTTTATGTCAGAATTGCCAGAATGAAGGCAAGCGAACCATTCCTGCACACAAGATTTTGATAAGGTACCTTCATCGTACACAACACAAATTTCTTCACAAGCCTGCGCAGTGTTCTTTCCTTTATTGTAATAGCACAATTTTTCTGTAGTTTTCTCTGTTGTGATTCACCCACAACTTTCCATCCACTTTAGCATGTTCAATGTTTATACACTCACAATAACGTCTCGAAGAATCGCTTTTCAATGAGTGTTTAGTGGTGTTGCTGCAATCTGTTTCCCTAGTTATTTGCCATTGACACCATCTATCGGGAAAAATGCCATGAACTTTTCCCCGGAGCCATAATATAAAAAAAAAAAAATTATGCTGTTGCTGTTTATTATCAATAAGTAATATATATTTTATTTCAGGCCTTAATTATTTATAATAATGTGTATTATTAACTAACCCTTGTCTAAAAATTGAGAATAAATAATTTCCCTCTTTCACATCATTGAGAAAATCTTAAATAGAGTGTATAGAATAAATGAAGTCAAATTTAGTTACATTAGAATCTGCTCTAACTTAAACAGGTGCTTTTTCGCCTATCGGTGCATTTGAGAAGTAGCCTGACCCAAAATGATTTTGTGATACTTAGAAGTAAAAATGAGATAAATTTCAAATGTTCTTAAGAATAGTAGAAAACCAGGGAGTCGTATTTGGTCATTGGTGTATTTTTAAAACTTTATTTATGATTAATGTGTTGAAATTTCTGCTGTTTTTCATGTAAATTTTTGTTCATTGTTTAAAAATAAATAATTGCTTAATGCAGAAAACAGTTTCAAAATACCTTCAGAGTGTTTTCAAAAGTTTTTTTTTTAGGGGGGGTTACTGCTTAAGAAATTTTGCAAGGGTATGATTCTAAATGGTCATGTGCTGTTTCGTGGTATTTCTTATTTTTCTCTAAGCTGTCATTCAACATAGTATTTTCTGTTGGTCAATATCATATCCAGAAGTCTCATCGTATGATTGATTTTTCATTTATTTTAAATTATTTCAATGATTACTACCACTGAACTGTTAGGTATATATATGTAGAAGAAAACACTAATTGAGACTCTTGACTTTTAGTCACTCTTGGCATATATTGCTGAATTCAGCTGAGGAGATATAAATTTTGGTGCATACAATTTTGTGCATTATGACAAACAAATTTGGATCTTCTGTATTTATCTTTTATTTATTTATTTATTTATTTTGGTAATGGGGCAGCACGAAACTTGACGTAAATCATTTATATTTCCTTATGTTATTGTGACTTCAATGTTTCAAACTGTTTTTTGCACCAGTTTATTGAAGTTAATTTTCAGTCTCAAGAACATGTAAATCTCAGAGCTGTTAGAAAATACGATTCAACCCAGATACTGCTTTTTTCCTCTGTTATGATAAACTGTATCGTTATCCATTTCCAGTAGTGAAATATTTTGATTTTGTGTTTATTTTCACGATTTATATTCTTTAGTTGAACTCCTTATCTTGAAAAAAGTTTACATTTCTTCCTTCAGAAGATAAATCTTAAATTTTTATCCATAAAAATATTAACCTGACAATGATTGTACATCCAAAAATAGTTGTTCGAGAGATATAATAAATTAAAATTGCTATTTATATCTTGAAGAGTTAGGAAGATATTTTATAGCTCATCGGTATCATAATCAAGAGCATATAAACATCTTTGATCATGTTTTGCTCAGATAGTAAGTGCCAGTATCATGTCCTGAAAAAACACCTGGCATGCATCCCTAAAAAATGAAGCTTATTTTGCATACATGCATATACACATGCAGAATAAACTGTTTTTTCATAAAGTATCCTGATGAATTGCACTATAACGTCTGTTTTTAACTAGTGCTAATGAGTCTTCATATTTTGCATCAAATTAATTTTTAATTCAGTCAGAAGTCTTTAATCCAGACTCGTTGGGACTTCGGCGATTCCGGAATATAGATCATCAATTTAAATCTGGTAAGATGGTGTGCAGAAATTATAAAATTAAAAATATGAAACCGTAATTTATGAAATAAAGAGCAATTATGATCTAAAGGGTATCAAAATTTACCAAAAAAAAAAGCTTAATATTTATTTGTTTATTAAACATTTCTTTCAATGTGCACATGCATAAAGCATACATTACGCATAGTCGAAATTAGAAAATTGTAACTAGAAAACTATTTGATGTGTATTCGTGATATTTATAATGACAAGGAACTTGATTTAAATCATATCAAAGACGGAGTACATCGAGATGAAATACTACATTTAGTAAGGAATTATAAGCCGAATAAAATAAAAACACCCTGAAGATGAGGATAGTGCTGACAGATCAAATTCCAGTTCATTGCGCGCCACGACATTCCTCCTCCCGGAGATCAGCGTGAAATTGATAAACAGATTTCGGAATAGTTAGAGGAACAAAGGATATGCCTTTATCCATTTTTTGCAACAATTCCACTTTTTGATGGACATCGAAACATGCTTTCGCTTTGTAGATCCTTTGGCAGTTCCAGAATCAGAAACTCTTTTTGACATAATCGAAAGTTCAAGCTTACTTTTATAAATTGCTGTAACAGTCTGCAAAAAATAATAAGCCAGATCCAATTGGAAGATTAAGGAACAACGCAATCTGCAACATTAACTGAAATAGGTAATTAGATAATTTTAGCTTGGCTTATACCGTCCGTTACACATTAAACGTGCATGCGTAAATGCGTGTGCAGAAAGTTTGTAGCTTTGAAGTTCGGATTATAGATCATTCCGGATTAAAGACTTTTGACTGTGTAGAGAAATAATTTGTTTCATTACATAGGATTAAATGGATAAAAGGAAATGGCCATATTATATGAGGATGATGTTGAGAAAAGGCTAAATACAGTTGAATGTGATTATCAAAGCTTATCAGGATTTCTTCTAGTTTAATAATTGGACATTATGAAATTTATTCCAGATCAAAACTATATAGTCTGAGGAATCTTTAATGAGTTTTTGCTACCTTCTGCTCCTTTAAAGTGCACGTTTTTAAATAAAATAAAAAGTAAATAAATTGTGAATTTAATTTAAATAAGTAATTTTCTTTTTTAAAATTTTGTTTTTACAGGAATTTCTTGTTTTTCTTTTATTGAATAGAGGATTAAGATTTCACTTCATGTACTTTCTTTCTTTTCACGTAAAGTTTCTATTTTTTAGTTAACCCTTTATGGTGGTTTGTAAATTTTTTAACCTCCGAAAAAATGCTAATTTTTCTACACCAAAAGCTATAATCGTAAGTGTCTAGTATTTTCTTTCGATACTAAATGGCAACATCCCCCTATGAATGCTCAATATTTTACAGTTATGAAATTAATATACGTCGTTCCAAGGTATCATGTTGGAAGATTGATAAATTCTATTGGAGGGAAAGAAAAAATTCAAAATCTGCAAATATATGACGTACACATGCTGAATCTTATATATTTACTTCATTTCAGTCAGAAGTGATAATTAACAGCAGATTATTTATACGATTTTAAAACTGGTATATAATATATACCGGCGCCCACACTGAGGGTACAACGCCAATAGGTGGCAGCACCAGTATTCTCCTTTACTACTCTGTGACGTGACAGAATTTCTTTATTATTATAACAGTTTATGATGTAATAATATTTCATGATTAACTTATAAGTCGTTTAAGATTAAATATTATGTTCATGGGGGAATGGGGACTTTTCTGACCCTGTGCTAGGACTGAATACAAGTATATTAGTTTCATTTATTCTTTGTGTACTCAGCTCAAGTTTCATTCGTCTGTGTTTAGCTAAAATTTTAATTTCAGCACTCTCACTGTTTCCCAAGAGAAAGACTCATCGATTTCAAAATTGCCGTCTGGGGTCAAAACTTCACACAATTGTGGGGGTTAAACGTGGCATGCTAGCCCCCAAAAGATACCTGTTGCTTCTTGTTTTCCAAAATCCTAGAATGTAAGAAAAGAAAATGAAAAGAGGTGATTGACAACCAATTTGTCTTTCCGGAGCCAGGCCTTCTTCC